AAAAAAAAAAAAAAAAGAGTGTAGTCATACAAGCAGGAATTGTAGGTGGCTTGGATGGCAATAAAGATGGTGAGATGGATGAAACCGAGATTTACGTCAGAGGGAGAACTGAAAGAATCTCATTGATTCAGTATGGAGCAGTTAGGGAGAGGGAAGCACTAAGAAAGGTTTTCAGGTTACTGGCATGAAAATTGTTGGACAGTGGGGCCACTGAGATGGAGAACACTGAAGGCAGGAAAGAGGGAGGATGCGTACATCATTAGTTTAGTTTAGGATGTGTTGACTTTATTTTTTTTAAAGATTTTATTTATTTATTTGACAGAGAGAGAGACAGTGCGTGCACAAGCAAGGGGAGCTGCAGAGGGAGAGGGAGAAGCAGGCTCCCCGCTGAGCAGGGAGCCCAACATGGGGCTCAATCCCAGGACCCTGAGATCATAACCCGAGCCAAAGGCAGACGCTCAACCGACTGAGCCAACCAGACGCCCCAGGATATGTTGATGTTAAAGTGTCTATGAAACAATGAAGTGGAAATAGTGAGTAAAACTGTTGGACGCTCAAATTTGGACCTCACCAAACTCATTTGAGCTAGAATATAAAACCAGAAGTTGTCAGCATGGAATTTCAGCATAGACCTGGATAAAATGACCTATGGAGAGAGCAGAATTCTGGAGAACTGGGCTACGACTGAGTCCTGCAGAACTAAAATATTTAAAGATTAGGTATAAGACAACACACAGCAAAGGAGACTAAGTAGCAGCAGCCAGCATACTAGGAGGAAAAGAAATGTGAGAGAAGCCAAGGGAGTAAAGCACTTTTAGGAGACAGTGGTTCCCTGTATCAAATACTGATTTGAGAACTGAAGTGTATTCACTGGCTATGCAGCATGGCAGTGACCCTGTTGCTAACTGTGAATGCACAAAACGGTATATAGAAGTTACAAGAAGATTAGAAAACCATGCTGGAGTGGGTTAAGGAGTAGAGGCTAGAACAAGAACATAGAAAGCCCTGAATGCTAAGGATCTGGGATTCTACTCTGTGGGCAATGGGAACTACTAAAATTCTGAAGTAGAGTCCCATGATCTGATCTGTGCTTTACAAAAATAACTCTAATATGAGTTAAGAACAGGTTGGAAAAGGAAACTAAGGGAATGCTTAGTTAAAAGGCTTCTTTAGGAGTCCATGGAAATAAAAGATATAATAGAAACAGAAAAGCTGAGTTGTTACCTTGCTGTTGGAAGAGGAATTTGAGGATGATGACACTTTTTCTGGGCTCTTAGATTTTTCTGCTTTCCCAGACTTCTCTGGAGTCTCTTTACTCTCATTTGAAGACTTTTGGGATTTATCCAAAATGTTAATTCCCAAGATCTGAGCCACTTTGTCCAGTTCAGACTGCTTCTTTTCTGCCTCTTCTGCCTCTTGTCGAAGTTCTGCAATGTCCTTCATAATGTTATCCTGAAGCCGACTCACCTCCACGAGGAGCGGGTCTTTGTGGCCATCTTTCTCCCTTCGTTTCTTGCGTAGCATTTCCCCTGAGTAGTTAAATGTCAAAAGAAAGAAACACAAGGAAAGTAAGTTAAGACAAGTCATGTTTCCATTGTAAGTAGTAATCTCCCAAGAGGTCATGGTGACAAAATCTTTTCCCTTAAAACATTCCTTCCTGGGGTGCCTGGGTGGCTCAGTTGGTTAAGCGACTGCCTTTGGCTCAGGTCATGATCCCAGGGTCCTGGGATCGAGCCCTGCATCGGGTTTCCCTGCTCAGCGGGAAGCCTGCTTCTCCCTCTCCCACTCTCCCTGCTTGTGTTCCATCTCGCGCTGTGTGTGTCTCTCTCTGTCAATTAAATAAATAAAATCTTTAAACAAACAAACAAACAAATAAACATCCCTTCCTAAAAGCAAGACTCTCCTTCCACATGGGCTAGTTTAGGTGAAGTTTCTTTTCTTTCGTCTTCTTTTTTTTTAAATTTTTATTTATAAGAGAGAATGAGCATAAGCAGGGGGAGGGGCAAAGGGAGAGGGAGAAGCAGATTCTCCTCTGAGGAGGAAGCCTGACTCGGGGTTCCATCCCAAGACTCCAGGATCATGACCTAAGCCAAAGGCAGATGCTTAACTGACTGAACCACTCAGGCACCCCTAGGTGAAGTTTCTATGGAGGTAAAGGATGACTGATTACATTATCTCTTATAGAGGAGTTATTAGCCAAGGATCTACAGGCAGGCTTCAGAACTCCATGAATCCCCAAAATGGTATATACAAGTTTGTATGCATTTGTCCTTATGTTGTTAACTATGAATCCAGGGGCACCTGGGTGACTCAGTTGGATAAGCGTCCGGCTCTTGGTTTTGGTTCAGGTCATGATCTCAGGGTCCTGGGATCAAGCCCTGCATTGAGCTCCGTGCTTAGCTTGGAGTCTGCTTAGGCTTCTCTCTCTCCCTCTGCCCCTCCCCAGCATGCTCTCACTTTCTCTAAAATAAATAAATCTTTAAAAAAACCCCAAACTATGAATCTGGTGGCAGTCTTCTTCAGAAAACTAAAGTATTATTCAGAAGGCAAAAACCATTCAGTCACATATTTGACTTTATCTGATTTAAGGATCCTTCACCAAAAAAAAAAAAAAAAAAAA